TCGGTCCTTCCCATCCTGAACGGATAATCACATAGAATGTTGGATCTTCGTACACGCACAAGCAAATCAAAAAATAGTGTAAACGAGAAGGAAACAACTTAGCTATACCTCGTCGATAGTCCTTTTACTCTTCCATATGGCACATGCTCGACCTTCTCTGCCAGATCCACTCTGCCTATGCGTTTCAGGATTGACCGCAATGCTTCAAAATGTTTCCGCTGCGCTCGATCAACTACGTAGAGATATCGGTCAGCATGGAAGAGCTCATCACGGTTCAAAATACATGCTAATTCTCTAAATAAGTTAAAAGAGGACAAAAGTAATTCATCCTGATGGAAACAAGAAGCAAAGGATTACCAACCTCGATAAATAAAGCGTTGTGTGATCACTTCTCCTTACAACGGCGTACTCTTCCAATTCGCCATTGATATCTACAACGGAGATACCGCTTGGCGCTACTCGAGCTATTTGATCTTTGAGAAGGGCAGCAGTCAGACGGCGAGCAGCCGTTACATATGAAGACTCATATTGCCACCTTGAAAGGAATTAGAGAAGATGATTCTTGATGATTGTGGAACATAATTTCAATATACAAAAGTACTGAAGGGAATAATTCGATGTGTAAACAAAATTAATAGACGAGATTCATATCGTCTTAGTCATGGATAAAAAATGGGCACCATTAGTGATTAAGTCATCTTACGGCAGAACAAACACAGACATTTGAGAAAACGTTTGAAAAAATTTCATGACAAACCTATCAAACTCAATGTTTAGCATGTTGTAGAAATGCTTCAGATGCCGTTCTGAGATTTCTCTGATGTCTCGCCAAAGTTGCAATACTGGTGACGACATCTCGTTGCTAAAAGTCTCAACTGATACTTTTCATATCAACGTAACGACTGAAAGCTTAGAAGTCTGCAAAAACGTAAATACTTTTCTATGCAATCTTCCATAGTGGCAAAAGTATCCCGCACTTTATCCCGAAAATCCTCATCCACTTTGCTCTGTTTGTTCGCTACCACGTAGCAATCTGTGAGTGCTCTGATCTTATCAACATCGCTACATGTGTTCCAAAAACTGTCAGAAGGTCGAACCTAAAGTTGGATCAAG